GGAGACTTGTAGAAAATCATTTCTGCACTAGGAGAAAAAATAAGGGCATTGAATGCTACGGGCTACAGATGGTTAGGGGTCGTGTCAGACAATATCACTTTTTTTTTTAAACCAGTCACCTTCTCCTATGGGTCTCTCTCTTACTGGTAAGACCAGCGAGATGTTGCTTATTGCTGCTCCCCCTAGCTAGTGATCAACATTCAGCAGTGACCCAGGCTACTGAGAAAGCAACAACCATTAGGAAAGAGATTGTCTCACTACTGGGTATCATACACCCAACATGCCCCTTAAACAATGGAGGTAATTTAAAAGAATTTCAGCTGAACACAAGGCAATTTCTGGTCTTTGCATATTTTTTTTACCAAAGCACATTTTTGGGGGAAATGTATCTGTACAAATGTGTACCTTTACTAGTTTGTAAGGTAACACTTTACTAGTTTGGGTTAACACTTGGCAAAATGTATTGTTTTTAGTAAGCTTCTTGGTTTTCAGCCTGAAGTTTTAATAATGCCCTACCTATCTCAACTTCCTCTGTGAATTTTAAGGCTTAATCTTAGCTCATGGTATGTTACCTAGACTTGGAAAGTGCTAAATGAAGTTCACAATGGGCTAAAAGAAGTGTCAATGTGTTCTGAAACATTTAACCCGGCACCAATTCAAACATATAGTGCAGATTTGAATTTGACTGGTGGCAAGGATGAAGTAGGTGTACCTCCTAAGCTGGCCATAGTTGAGCCGTGGGTGGCCTTGAAAGCACCATTTGGCTTGACAAGAACAAATCCAGATGTGCCATTTTTTTTTTCATATTGTTACAATGGTCTAGCTTGGACCAATGTAACTATGCATGCACCGTGTCTGTAAGATCCCTCTAGAACAGAGTTCTCCAAACTTTCTAAACAAAGGGCCAGTTTACTGGCTTTCAGACTTTAGGGGAGCCGGACTGTGGCCATTGGGAGCAGAAAGTTTCCTGCATCATTGGGAGTAAACAATGCATCTTTGGCATTAGGAGAGGAATATCACCCTATACTTGGTGTATGTTGGAGAAATAGGGTCCCATCATTGGTGTCAGTGGAAAGAATAGTGCCCCCTTGTTGGTGTAAGTGGGAGGAATAATGCCCCATGGTGTGTTTCATTAAGAGGAATAGTGACTGTTGTAGATGTCAGTAGCAGGAATGATGCCCCTTGTTGGTGTCAGTGGGAGGAATAGTGTCTTGTATCAGTGGGAGAAAGTGCCCCAAGGGCCAGATCAGGGCAAGCAAAGGGCCTCATCCAGGCCCCCGGGCCGTAGTTTGGAGACCACTGCTCTAGAAGATGGAAATCATTGAAATAATACACCACTACTCTAGTGATCTCCACTAGCTGCTGGGCCCCATGCTGAGCCGCTGCATTCTGAACACTGGAGGTCTCCGTTCAGCATGGGCACCATTCAGGAAATGCTTAAATAATTAGCATTTTCCCAATTACTGCAAAGCATTCTCTGATTGGACGAGGCGTAGAGCGTGATGTCACAACCTACATTCCCATCTCATCCAATCAGATGCATTCATTGTAAAGACTGGACACATCTAGAGGGATCCCATAGGTATGGTATGCATGGTTAAACTTGCCCAAGCCGGACCAATGTAGACTAGGTAAAAAAAAAAAAAATTCCATACCAAGAATTCTTTAAAAACCAAATATGCCGGTTGAAAAATTACCTGCAGAACAGTGACTGCATACTATCATATGAAGTCACTGCTCGGAAAAGCCACTGTATTCAGGCAGCCACAGGTATCATGGCTGCTGAATATAACAGGGAGCAGACTGAGTTAGAGACAATGAGACCTGTATGGATAGCTTTAGTTCTTACCAAGATTGGAACATCAAGCTGAAATATTTCACTTGTATGGCAGTGGGAAATGTGCATTGTTACCGGTACCTGTAGACTGGTTATGGAAATTGATATGCAATCTGATTTGACATAACAATACAAAATACAACTCCAAACTTCGGTTTCAGTTACAACTTTATTCATCAATATAAATATTGTGAATGGTTTTCTTACTAAAACTCTTACATCTATGACTTTTGCAGTGGCATTGACTAAGATGGTGCTGTCATAAGCAGATGTGATGCACTGATCTTTCTTTCAGTTTGCTAAACTCAGAATTCTAAAGGATTCTGAGATTAGGGTATGGTTTCTGAAGGTGGCATAGTCCAGAATAGAAAAAAATGACTAATGTGAGACCATGCTCTTCCATAAATGGTTAACACTGGTACAAAAGATTAAATTCAAAAAGCTAAGGAAGATGGAACTGGGTACAAAATATGGCATTAGAAGTTCTCAGATACGTGCAATGAAATATAGGAACTGTTAAGTGCCATTGATAACCCAAATCAAATGTCCCCTCCCTCAAAAATCCCCATTATTTATGGGGACCTATATAAAACAGTACACAGGAAAAGGCGACAACCAACAGTGCATACACTGGTTTTGTTCCCCGAATAGCATTAGGACTTGTATTTAAAAGAACTTAGTACGGCAACCAGCCCCAGTCTGATGCTCCTAAAGGCAGCATGTATAATGGTCACCACACAGGTGGCAAGTCTCTCTATGGTGAATGCAGCTGTAGCAGATTGCTGCCCACTTCAAAAATTACTTTGGTATTTAAGTTGCTTTCAGTGGTAAAGCAAATCATGAAACAGTACTGATACCGCATTCAAGAGCAAAAAAAAACAATCAATATGGAGACAAACATGGGGGGAGATTTACTAAAACTGGAGAACTCAGAATCTGGTGTAGCTCTGTATGGTAGCCAATCAGTTTCAGCTTTTCAATTAAGCTTTGACAATAAAGCCAGGAAGCTGATTGGTTTCTATGCAGAACTGCACCAGATTTTGCACCATGCCATTATAGTAAATAACACACATGGTGCCTGGCCATTACTGGGGTTGTTAAAACCAAGAATAACACTCCAAAAATCCCAGCTAGACTCCAGATAACCAGAGTTTTGTCCTAAATATCTACTTTTTCTTTTAAAGTCCTAAATTAGAAAAGACACTTCTAAGACCCACTCAGGATGAAAACTGGGTAACTGATTCCCCCCAAAAAGAAAAAAGTTGTTCTTTCTCAAAACACAGTAAAAAGAACACAAAAGTGGTTATAAATACTACACACTTTGGGAAAGAATAAGCCCCTTCCCCAGTTTTCTGGTAGTGTGAGTTTTATAAATGTCCCCTTTTGGGCTCCATCCACAGCAGCAAGAGTCAAAAAGCAGTTAAGATTCCCAGAATTATGAAGTGGTACCCTGGGCAGGAAAAGTTGCCCTTTTCTGCTCACCCCGGTCAGCTCATCAAATCTGAATCATGCAATGCTTTCTGTGGAGCACATGGTAGCAATAATTCTATGAAAGGGAGATAAGTTATAGAAATGAATGGTCTTTTTTTATGCTCGTTCTACAAATTGCCAACGCATGGAAACAACATTATTAGCGGTACTGTTGCCAACGGAGCCTTAGGATGTTGAAACAGTTTTCAACTGGACAGCAAATTCCCTAGCATTTGTCAGCACAAATTATTTATTTCCGAGTAAAATAAAAAAAAGAGATAGCAGTTACATCAAACTCATAACTCCAAAAAATGGAGAATTAAGTACTTAGTCTATTCCTTGAAGCAATGTGAAATATATATACTGTACTCTTAGAAAAACATCATCACCAATGTAATATGCATTTCTTCTATGGAAGAACATATTTTGGCTCATTCTGAGTTTCACAAGAAGTAATTTGCTGCAAATAAAAAAATACATAGTATATAAAAAAAAAAATCTTAAAAATAAATTAGCAACCTAAAAACACAAAACACAAAAGGAAAAATTTATTCTTGGCATCAGCTCCCTGACGTAGAGTTGGCACAGATAGTTTTTGACAACCTGTATGTATGATATGTAACTTTTTTTTTTTTTTTTTAATATATATATATATATATATATATATATATACAATGACGATGCCATAGAATAAATTATATAATTACAAATGATATGGGGGACGGGGGTTATCTGTACATTCTGTACCACAGTGGTCAAGGCTGCACTTAAACATACACATCCCTTTTCTCTCAGTGTTCAGAATTAACCCCTAACAAAAGGCCTTAAGCTCACAAACCATTATAACAGTTTACAGTCATAGCTGGCCATAAAGTTATAAGCAGTTCCTTCATTTTACATTAAGCTTAAACTTCTTTTAAAATCCTAATATTTACATGTGTTTCTTGTCATGCAAATGAAGAAAATGGCCTTTATTTAATAATAAACAGCAAAGAACAGGAGTGCTGCGCACCCCTTACCAACCAATCAAAATTAGCTTTTGCTAGTCGGAGCTGAAAGATTAATTCTGATTGGTTGTTTGAGGTTATAAAGTATCTTTGCGCTATTAAATAAGACACAAGGTAAAAAAAAAAAAAAAATACATTATTACAGTAAAGACATGCAAAGGTGTAAAACAAGGGCCATTAAAAATTGTTGGAGTAACTTTACATCAATCCATATGTGTATACATAAATGTATCTACACATATATACACACAAATATAACCAATGTATTTACACAAACCAAACTGATATATACATAAACATATACACCTGCCAAATACAAAAAAAAACAAAACAATAAAAAAAAAGGCCTATAATTTTAAGGCCGAAAACAAGAAACTCAAGAAGCAGTATATTGGTGCAAAAATAGAAAGCCAAAGTTGTGATGAACTAAAATCACCGCACAGTGGAGTGAAAAGGTGGATGTGTAGAGCATTTGGTGAGACAAGGCTTGCATTAGGAGCAGTCTTCTGCTGTAAACATTGATATAGCAGCTGCTGGCTTGAGACGTAATGCATGGTCACACATTCAGAGAATTGGAATTTGATATCGGTCACTAGTATCACGTAGGAGGTGGTCCATAATTTCCATAGCAATAGTGTTCCTCTTCTGATAGGCATCCCATTCATGTTGGACAGTGAGCATTCCCATTAGTAGTCTTTCACCGGAGCCAGCTCTGGCACAAGGTTTACAGTGATGTTTTTAAACAACTTGTCTATAATTATATTTGGGGCATATATTAAATTATTTAATCCATCAAGATATTGACGTTCTTTAGAGTATCGTAGCAACTTGTATCTGCAGGAAGTAAAGAAACACAATTTAGTATCTGCAGTCTTACAGTCTAATCTAATTGTATCAACCTATATAGTGCACACAAAATTCAGAGCTTTGTGGAGCTCCCAGTCTGTACACAGCAGCTCCTGCCACAGAAATGGCTTAGAGGGTAGCCACACATTTATATTACCTCTCCCAAGCTAAACTCTGTTAGCATCCCACCCTCAAGAAGCTGCTTACTTACCGCTAATCCAGTATCATGGCCTCCCATCCAGCAAAAATCTGCCATGGCAGAGCACTGCATTTCTATAGGTTTGAATGGGCTGTACACCGAGGCTCCATTCACATCTAGGCATTTTGTATCACAGGCAGAACTGCGACAAATCGCATCCCACTTGTGCGATTCTACCTCAATAAATTGCACTGCAATTGCGGCAATCCACATCACACAAAGTTTGTCACCCAAAAAGAAGCAGGGGCTTCTTTTGGGGCGACAAGCTTTGTGTGATACAACAATCGCAGCAGAAGTGCATTGCATTTTAGGTGCCATTGACAATGAATGGCACCTGAGCAAGCATAGTTCGATTTGTCCGTTTTGCAGAACGTTCTGGGATCGCGGGCAGAATACAAAAAATGCCTAGATGTGAATGGAGCCTTTGTGGTGTGATTTAAGCCCATATAAAATGAATAGCTAAAATCACACTGAACCCACATGTGATTTGGACAGGAATCGCATCGCATTCCTGTTCAAATCACATGTGCTTCTTTGCAGTGCGATTTGAGCCCATTCATTTTGTATGGGCTCAAATCGCACAGCAAAAGCATTGGTTTCAAGTATCGGAGCATTAGCACGAGTACGTGTGCAAATGCTTAGTAAAGATACCGGTAACGGTGCAACCCTACTTTAACCACTTCCTGTCCGGCCCATGTATATAAACAGCCAGACGGGAGCAGTGCTGGGGCGGGTTGCCGTTCATAAATGGCGCCCGCCATTTTAGCCAGTGCACGCTCCCTGTGAGCATGCGGCATCGCCACACAGCCAGTGCCCGCTGTGTCCGGAGGACGATCGCTGTAAGGGACCTCCGTGTGAGGTCCCAATTCATGTGATCACCAATTGGCCAATCAGTTATCAAATGAATAAAAATAAGCAAGATGCCACTTCTGACATCATTGCTTACTACTAATGAATTCTGTGAATGATCACAGAGATCACATGGTACAAGGCTATTCACAACAGCATTGTACCATGTGACAAGCTATGACCAATCACAGCTCGCACAGTATTTCTCAGTGGCTGCAAGAATGCAGTCAGAGAGAAAGAGAAATGATTGCTTTTATAGCCTTTATGGGTGCAAAAGCAGTCAGTGTAAAAAAAAAAATCTTCATCACCCCCCGCAAGTAGTACAGTGTCACTATAGTGACACTGTACTGCTAGGGTGACAGTATGTAAAAAAAAAATATTAATAATCTAAAAAAAATAAAAATTTATATATTTTTTTTTAAATGATAATTTTTGGTTATAAACTAATTTGGGTTATTTTTTTTACTACAAAGATAACTGAATAAATTTTGGAAAAGATTTATGAAGAAAGGTAATTTATTTGCAAAATTTTATAAGAAACACTTTTTTTAAACATTTTTGGACTTTTATATTTATATAACAAAAAAAAATAAAAATCCCAGTGGTGAATAAATACCACCAAAACAAATTTTATCTGTCTCAAAAAAATGCAGTGCAGTGTTGCATGACCGCGCAATTGTCATTCAAAGTGTGACAGCGCTGAAAGCTGAAAATTGGCATGGACAGGAAGGCGGTAAGTGTCCGGACTGGAAGTGGTTAAATAATACATACAACACTCCAGCTATTATATTATTGCAAGGCATGGCAATGATGCCAACCATGTTCATAATAGTACTTAACTATATAATATTCTTCAGTCTGTTCTGGCTCATGAAGCATTCATTGTACCTTGGCTACATTTCATTAATCATGGAGAAATTCGCTTCACATCTTACGTAAGATGAATAGAATACACTCACCGTCCTAGGAACTGGACCTCTCCTCTATGATGGTGGGGTATAGACTTGTACTTCCCAAGGTCTCCATCTGGTCTTGACACATTGAAGCCGGCATAATGTACCCTTGAAAAAGAAATAAATAGCAACAATTGGAATATAAAACCAAGCCAGTGGACTAATGAACCAAACTATCATTAGCAGACAATGCAATGTTTAATTTTTGTTTTTCTACATTTAAGGAAACTAGGCAGATACTCCTCTATAGTGCTGGTTGCCAACCTACCTGTTCCACAAATCATCGTCTTCACCTCCCCATCCCCAGAATGCATTGGGAAATCCATTGATCTTTCTAAACTGCTCCACTGTTAAACCACTTACTCCTCCAAAGAACTCGTTGTATGGCAGACTGAAAAGAAAGAAATACAAGAATTACAGTTAAGGAGTCTAGCAGTTTTCCTGCCTGACTACATTTCCAAAAATAAACCGTCCAGGCTGTATTTGTTTAACTAAATGAACCAACTACCCAAGCTAGTTTATTTTGTATCGTATAATGGATTAAGTCTTACCATACGCTTGAAACTGAATGCCCATAAGAAAAACAAAAGAGACTTGAATCAACATGCGATTCCAATACAGCTTTTTTTCTTTTAATATATAATATGCTGTGTAGTAGGATTTTGAAGAATTTGCTGAAGTTCTTGGGGTAAGGTCTCATTGATTCTAATTTAAAGTGGAATTTCACTCTTTCAATCAACATTGACTAATTGTAATCCTTGTGCTGCTAGCATTAGTAAATAGATTGGAAGGTATATTATATTTACTAGGGATGCACGGTTATCGATACTGATACCGAGTATTTTCACGAGTACTCGTGAAAATACTCCGATACCTGAAACAGAACTTTTCGGTGCACTTTGCTTCTATACAAAATGTATGGACACAAATTGCACTGCAAAGAATAGCATGCGATTTGAACAGGAATGCAGTGAGATTCCTGTCCAAAACACATGCGGTTTCCTTACTGCTCCTGTATGAACCCAGGCTTGTCATAGCCAGAGTTAGATTTTGTACCATAACGGTGCTGACCAATGAGAAGCTCAGCCCATACTGTCATCCCTGCAAGGAGAGGAGAAAAAACCAGGGGGGTTTAAAATCTCCAGACCTGTGAAGCAGTTATATATTCCTCTCTTTGTAGGGATGAGACTCAGAGGACACCACAGGCTCATGTTCCAGCTCCCCCCCCCCCCAGGTGTAAAATCAAGATTCCCCAGCCACTTGGGGATTTGGGTGTGCAGCAGTACAAAAGCATGGGGCTGCTGGAGGCCAGGGGAGGGGGGTTGTTACAGTAGTACAAGCATGGGGTCACTGGAGCATGGAAGGTTCTGCGCAGGGCAGCTGGAGGATATGGGGGTCTAGGCACTACAAGCGTGTGGTCAGTGGAGAATGGAAGGTTCCAACAGTGCTAATGCAGGGCAGCTGGAGGATATGGGGGGGTCTAGAAGTAGAAGTGTGGGGTCATTGGAAGATGGAAGGTTCTAGAAGTGCTAGCACAGGGCGGCTGGAGGATATGGGGGTCTAGCAGTACAAGCGTGTGGTCAGTGGAGAATGGAAGGTTCTAGCAGTGCAAGCGCAGGGAAGCTGGAGGATATGGGGGTCTAGAAGTACAAGCGTGGGGTCACTGGAAGATTCTAGCAGTGCTAGCGCAGGGCAGCTGGTGGATATGGGGGTCTAGCAGTACAAGCATGTGGTCAGTGGAGAATGGAAGGTTCTAGCAGTGCTAGCGCAGGGAAGCTGGAGGATATGGGGGCCTAGCAGTACAAGTGTGGGGGGGGGGGGTGTGACTGTGTAGCAGTAAAAGCAGGGGGTGGCTGGAGGATAGGAAGGGGGTGGTTGGGCAGCAATACAAGCGCAGGGTGGTTGGAAAATAGAGAAGGGGTAGAGGTGAGTGAGGTGCCAAATTGCACCATCGCCTGTGTAGACAAAAATTGTTACACTGGCCCTGGATGACAGTATAGGCTAGATGATTTATGATTGGTCAGCACCATCACAGTGCTGATCAATCAAAAGCTGTCTAGCCCATACTGTCATCCCTGCACTGAGAGGAGAGAAAGCCGCAGGGATTTAAAATCCCCAGCATTTCCCTCTGCAACAGCATGGGTTTGGTGCAGGGAGATTTCCCGCACCGCTCCTGTGTGACAAGCCTGGGTTCAAACAGGAGCAGTGGGGAAACAGCACGCCATTTGGACATGAATAACACCACATTCCTGTTCAAATTGCATGCTATTCTTTGTGGTGCATTTTGCACCCATACATTTTGTATTGACGCAAATTGCACTGCAAAGTAGGAACTCGGTATCGGCAAGTACTTGACCAAAAGTATTGGTACTCCTATTTGACGATCAAAAAAGGGTATCGGTGCATCCTTAAGATTTACCCATTTTAAGCATTTACTTTTTTACATTTCTTCAGTTACTTCCCGGTTTTAAGGTCTAGGCAAATAATGTCATACATCCCAGGAGTCTTCAAGAGAAGAGAAGGAGTATTCACAGTTGAGCGCACCCTTCTACCTGCATGCCCGCGTTAAGAGCAAATAGATACCAGGAAGTAAAGCTACATGAATCACCTGCCCTTACTCAAGATGGCCGCAGCCAGAAATGCTGGAGGGGAAGGGGGGCGTTCAAAGTGAATTCTCAGCGAAATAAAGCATGGAGACATGGATGGATAAAGGTGTTTGAGCTGAATACTGCAAATGAATTAAATCACATTTTTTGTTTGTGATGCTTAGATGCGGTGTGTTCCCCTTTAAAAGAGACTGCCAGGAGAGTAGCATACCCCTTGCTACCTGAGTCAGGTCTATAAAGTAAGAGGGCAGATCCACCTGTATAGCTCTCAGGCTTTCCCCCCGTGGTACAATCTGGTAATGTACCATCATGGCTTCACACTACAACCTTGCATATCACAGCTTCATGGTCAAACATACAGCACTAATTAAAAAGAAGCTACCTCTATATTTAGTCATTTTATGCGCACACAAACAAAAATAAATAAATAAACCCAACAGCAACTTTAAGTAGGCTATTCCAGAGAGGATACTAGATTACTGTATAATTACAGTGTAAAGGCTTTCCATTTTCCTGATAAAATGCCCTGTCATAAGGCAAACACCTGATTCAAGTTCTGCACAGTACATCGATTCAGTAATTAGAGGCTCCTGAGAAAGGAAGGGCTGCTATCTTTCCACCCAGGTGTAATCACACGTGCGGTTTCATTACGTTTACTATTTAAATGGAATTTGTCCTGGATCATATTACCTGTGTGCAAAGCCTCTGAGGGAAGAATCCATTTACTGACTCCTGGAAACATAACAGCAATTTCATACTGTTGTGCTACAGCCAAACTGCTGTGTACCCGCTGGTTTTGTGCTGGTTACCTGCAGTTTCCCATAGACATCTATTAGGTGGTGCATTTTCTAAAAATACAAAGAAAATTTTGCATGCTGCATTTGGTGTGCATGCAAAACGCACCAAAAACATGCCACCTAATCAGCGTCTATGGGAAACTGCGGATACATTGCACATCACCCGCGCTGCGGCCAAATCAGAGCATGGCAGTATGAAACCACCCTAACACGTCTGGGGGAAGTGAAGTAGTCTATTCAGCTTCACTTTGACTGATACGGTGCCCCAAGGCCTCCTGCCCACCTAAAAATGCATTGTATTTAGGCATTTAGGCATTTTTCTTTACTGATCTAAATACAGCCCATTGTTTCTAATGGGCCTGTACACACAGGCATGTAAACTTGTGCTGCATATAGTTTTTTTTTTTTTAAACTGCTTTACTGGTCAGTATTTTTGTGCACGTACATGCATATATGGCATAATAATAGAATAAAAACATAATTTTTACAAGGAAAAACGCACAAGTGCTATACAGTCTGTTCTCGTGTTCTTTCTGCCAGGAATATTTGATTTTCATACATCAGTTCCGTGTGCCGACCATCGATGGTTCGAATCTTGGCCAGTTCAGCAGGGACCAGCTGAGATTTGAACTATGGGTAGGCTGATTGTACCCAATTCGATTGATGTACGACTTGGGTACAACCAGCATGTTAGATTTTTACATGAGATTATAGCAGCGAACAATAATCATCAGCTCCCAAGCTGTGTCTATAGAGCCACGCTCCATACACACACACAGAGTGCCTTCCTTTGCAAAGCATTTGACTGAAAGCCACACCAGCCAATGATTCCTGCTGCTGCCCGAGACCCTATGTGAAGAGGAAGAGAGCAGAGATGCAGCCATGCACAGCACTGGATCAGTTGAGGCTCAAGATTATGTATTTAGGGAGGTGGTAGAGGCAGCAAGCTGTAAATGCAGATAAGGGGTGTCTGTAGATAAAAACAAACAGGGCAGCTCTTGAAGTCATCAGAGGACAAGGGGGCACTCTTTACATCTGGAGGAAAAGAAATTTAATCTCCGAACACGGAAAGGTTTCTTCACAGTGAGAGCTGTGAAAATGTGGAATAGACTCCCTCAAGAGTTGGTTCTGGCCAGCTCAGTGGATTGCTTTAAAAAAGGCCTGGATTGTTTCTTAGATACACAGAATATAACTGAATACTAACATTTATAGGTAAAGTTGATCCAGGGAATATTCAATTGCCTCTCAAGGGATCAGGAAGGAATTTTTTCTTCTGCAGGAGCAAATTGGATCATGCTTTGCTGTTTTTTTTTCCTTCCTCTGGATCAACTATGGGAAGAGGATTATAACTTTTTTTTTTTTTAACTGGATGGACTTTTGTCTTTTTTCAGTCAGACTAACTATGGAACTATGTAGCTCTGACTAAAGTTGAATAATGCCCTTGCTAAAGGCGTAGGCTGTTTATGTACCTCCTGAAGCCAGACTGAAAAACTCACAGGGTGTTGCTAGGTGAGGCTTGGTCATTACTGTTCACCTCCACCATCACAGGAGTAAGGGGAAAAAAGAAGCATGTGAGGGGCTTTGATTCAGAGAAAGAGCTCACTCCTGTGATGGTGGAGGTGAGCAGTACTGACTGGGCAACACAGTGGCTAAATGGTTAGCACTTCCGCCTGGCAGTACTAGGATCATCAGTTTGAATCCCAACCACAGCACCACCTGCCTGGAATTTGCATGTTTTCCCTGTGCCTGCGTAGGTTTCCTCCAGATACTCTGGTTTCTTCCCACACTCCAAAGACATGCTGGTAGGTTAATTGGCTCCTGTCTAAATTAGCTCTAGTATGTGTATGTATGAATGTGAGTTAAGGACCTTAGATTGTACACGCCTTGAAGGTTAGGGACTGATGTGAATGTACAATAGATATATGTAAAGCGCTACGTAAATTGACGGCACAATACAAGTACCTGAAATAAATAAATGACTAGGCATCCCTTAGCAATGTCCTAGCAACGTCCTGGGAGTATTCCAGTCAGACTTCATGAGATAAATAAATGGCCTACACCTGTAGCAAGGGTATTATTATTATACAGGATTTCTATAGCACCAACAGTTTGCTCAGCACTTTACAATATAAAGGGAGACAATGCAACAATAATACAGTTCAATAAAAGAGGGTTAGGAGGGCCCTGCTTGGAGCTTACAATCTAAGATATTCAACTTTAGTCGGAGACACAGTTTGTTATCATCCACAGACACCCCTTATCTGCATAGGCAGGTTTCTGGTAAAGGTGAACACTTAATGCAAGGAATGCATTAAAGTGGTTCTAAAGGCTGAAGGTTTTTTACCTTCATGCATTATTGTGGGGGCACCTGACAGGAGGGAGGGGCCAGCAGCGCCAGTGGGGGACCCCAGAAGAGGCGGATCCGGGCTGCTCTGTGCAAAACCACTGCACACAGCAGTAAGTACAACATGTTTGGTATTTTTTCTTTTAAAAAAAAAAAAAAAAGCTTTTAGAGTCACTTTAGGGTAAAAAAACATTTTGGCTTGATAAGCATTTTAAGGATACTTCAATAAGCTCGATATCCCTGTGCCAGAGATGTTGTATTCCTGTTTGCAGGAAGTAACACAACACGTCCCATAAATATCCATCCAGTTCAACCAAAAAAAAAAAGTTATAATCCTATACCCACAGTTGATCCAGAGGAAGGCAAAAAAAAAAAACCCAGCAAAGCATGATCCAATTTGCTCCTGCAGAGAAAAAAATTCCTTCCTGATCCCCCAAGAGGTAATTGGATATTCCCTAGATCAACTTTACCTATAAATGTTAGTATCCACTTATATTCTGTGTATCTAAGAAACAATCCAGGCCTTTTTTGAAGCAATCTTCTGAGCTGGCCAGAACCAACTCTTGAGGGAGTCTATTCCACATTTTCACAGCTCTTACTGTGAAGAAACCTTTCCGTGTTTGGAGATTAAATTTCTTTTCCTCCAGACGTAAAGAGTGCCCCCTTGTCCTCTGTGATGACATCAAGGTGAATAGCTCTAGACCAAGTTCACTATGTGAACCACTGATGTATTTATACATGGTGATCATATCCTCCCTTAATCTCCTCTTCTCAAGAGAGAATAAATTCAGTTTCTCTAATCTTTCCTCATAGCTGAGCTCCTCTATGCCTCTTATCAGTTTGGTTGCCCTTCTCTGTACTTTCACAAGTTCCCCGATGTTCTTTTTGTGAATTGGTGAATGTCCTAGCCCAGTGTCTTCATCTAGCTATTTAAGCAATCTGTTTGAGATCTAAGCAACTGATTTTTAGGAAAATAGAAAATTAGGAAATGGGTTCGCCAACAGAATTGTCTGAATAAAGCTCTTTCATACAGATGCAGTTAGTGAGTACATCACTCCAGTAATGGAGCCATGGTTATGTTAGCGTCTCTGAGTAACCGAAGCCCTAATTAACTGGAACTAAAAGAACTAGTAAAGCAAAGAAATCGTCTCCTTTGCTCTTCTAGTGCACATCTCTGGCAACAAAGCAACAATAAACAGTAATAACTCTGTGTTGTGGTGACAAATTCCAGCGATAGGAATTCATAACAGAGTTACTTTGTTTAAACAGAAGCCACTCTTATGTACGTTGGCACGGAGTAACAATTTTTAAAGCATTCGGGACACTGGAATGACAGACAAGTGCTCTGGCACCTTCAATGGAAACCATAAAGGAATATGACGAATACCAGGGTGTAACGTCTGTAGAGGGGCTTTGGCTGATTTCAACATTTTTCTGCAGTACTATGAAGTCACCAAGAAGCTATGACATTCTAAAGACACTATACAGAACAAGCTGTCCCATTTAGGTCTTAAAAAAGAACAGTCTACAGTAAACAGGTTCAATGTCTCAACTAGAACAGCTATGTAAACAGCTAAACATACCTTGCAAACACATAAAATGTTCACAGTTTTACCTTCCAAGGAATACCAAAAGTCAGAATTTTGACTATCTGCTCCCGTATTACACACATCTCTGCTACTGTGTGCTTTGCCATTAGTGCTTTTGCTCACAGAACAGAGGAGACGTCATTGATAGTGCTGGGGAGGCACCACAGAAAGCTGCACTGTCTGGCTATGCAACACGTATGCCATTGCAAATCCTTTTCCAGGCAACACAGTAAATATGTATGTATGCATTACAACTGTATTTAGCTGTTTACCTGGACCCTCACTTTAGGGCTCATGCACATGGCATCCAGAGCCTGCATAGTTTTTCCAGGACCTACAGCTGCTTTGTAAAGACACCCATAGGCATTAATGCAAGAGATGCAGCTGTATGCAGTTACAGTTGCATGCACTGGGGGGAGGGGGGGGTATGTCCTGAACATAATGACGTATGTCCTGAACATACAGACGTACTGTATGTCCTGTACACAGGTAGTCTGTGCTTAGAAAATACATTCATACACATACTTTATGAAACCTCCGGGCGCTTGACCACATACATCTGCTGCTTTGTCCAGTGGCTGTGGGTCCCAGGAAAATGTTTACGCAGACTCTGGAAGCTGTACAACCCCTCTTACAGCCATGAGCCCTTACAATGAAGTCTAGATCATTTGTTATGGAGCAATATAGGTGCAACCTCTTCCCGCCTGGAATCAACAATCATGAGACCACTGTGACAGTAGGCCCTGTGATCAGCGGCTGCTTCCGTCGGCTATTGATCTTTATCCCAGACCAAGAGCGTTCTTGGACAGCTCATTCTTTGTGCTAGGTGAGTGCTCTCATTACATAAACATTGGCCGCCCATCGATGCATATGTGTACTTTGTGGGCGTAAAGCCCACCCTTTTGCCAACACAAATATGCGCTGGGCGGTCATAAAGGAGTTAAGGCACTTTGTTTCGCATTCATTGAATACACTAAGCCAGGTGTATCAAAGGAAACATCTACTTACATGTACATGTACTTGTCAAGTTTTGTTGCAAAATGACGAGGCATTTCTCCACAACCATAATAATTTCTATCGTTTTCAGGAATGTGATCTACATCATGGAAAACGACACAATCCCATTTTCGATCCTTCATAGCTTCTTTAAACCCAACATTAAACAGCATTGCTCGATTGAATGTCTGAGTGCCAGCCTGTAAAGAAAGAATGAAAAATTGTAGAGACTTACATTTTACCACTGTCAACATACAATACATATTTGAAGATACAGAAATATATTACAGCACACTACCACACAAAAGCTTGCTACTGGTGGGAACTACTAACAGAACAAGGGTATTCGGTTCAAATCCCAACCCGGACACTACCTGCATGGAGGTTGCATGTTCTCCCTGTGCTTGTGTGGTTTTTCTCATACATTCCAAAGACATGCTGGTAGGTTAATGGTGGGGACTTGTCTTAAGCTGGCCATACACAAATTAAACATCAACTGATTCCTGCTGAACTGGAAGAATTCCTTCAGTGGGTGGCACTGTCAACACCTCCTGACTTGACAAAAGACGATTTTTCAACTGACTTTTGTATAAGGAGCTGGGCTAAAACGTCTCAGCTGAACAGTACCGGCATCCAATCAGATGCAGACATTGTTCTTGTATTCTGACAACTGTGTACTTGCTATCAGAAAACAATAGGACCAGCAATAGGAACACTGCACAAGGAGATACAAAAGAATAGTCTGCCTTTATTAAAATAGCCAGCAGGAACAAATTCAATTCTGCCTATTCTAGGCACAGCACTTTCTCAAAGAATCACTGTGCCTAGTGCAAAACATGTCAGAACAGAACATATTCCTGCAGGCTATTTTAATAAGGGAAGAATATTATTTTGCATCTCAGAGTACGGCATTCCTGTTGCTGGAACAATCGATTGCTTTGGTGGAGACAAATCAAGCCAGCAAAACAGCATGTCCATGTTGAGAGGAGATCCCATCAGATTTCCCTGACAATCGCCGAGTGCCGGCCAGAAATCGCCATTCAGGACCCAGGGATTGGCATCCCTATCCACCAACAGCGGCGCGGGTAGGGCAGCACACGCTCCCTACCCAGAAATGAAAATCACACTATCTATATATACACACACACGATTTTACGCAGCCCTGCCGCCCTGTAGCAGTACATCTGCAATAGGGTGATGGGCAAGTGGTTAAAGCTCATCTGCCACAACAGAGAGGAAGCCTTAAAGAGTAACTCCACTGATGTTGAAACCCCCCCCCCAAAAAAAAAAAAAAAACAATCTCCTCTGGGTGATCAACGTATATTGCAGGGATTAATTGCAGATTCCTAAAATTCTCTGCTCAGGAGAAAAAGTGGTTTGTTGTCTGCAGAGTTAATCTGAATGGAAATTAATTTTTCATTATTAATCCATTGATGCACCTGAAATGTTCTAATGAGCACAGTGGCAGGATCTGCATTGCTTTAGAAGTGGTTAACCCCTTGGGAGCATCTCACCAAAAAGTAAACTCTTGTTGCAGAGGATGCCTAAAATCTGACTTGTATCTTTATGAAAACTTCTGGGAAAAGCAAGGAGCCAAAAGCACAAGCAAGAAATGCAATTTCTGTGGGTGTTCCGTACACCAATGATGGCTATATTGTATTGCATTGAATTTTACAGAAAATTACAGAGCTGTAAATGTAAAAAAAAAAAAAAGGGGTAAATTTAATCACATTCAATTGCAATATGGCTTGTGTGGCAAATGTATATGCTATATATATTGTTTAACTTTCCTAAAAAGTATTACTTCTGTATAAACCTTTTATGATCCACCTCTAGGGGCATTCCACGAGACTGACAACACTATATCTGTGCATGTTTACTGAAGAGATTAACTTATAAATGTGCAATAATTGAAAATATTTTATGCCACTGATTTGTTTAAAACAGCATCCATGCAATGGCAGGCTGTCCTGTTCCTTTACTGAACGAGGCTCTGAAATTATTTTAATGTATACATAATGAAAGTCCTACACTGCCAACCCACAAATGATTAAAGAAAAGAGGTCAATGTGAATGTATTATTGTAGGTATTTTCTGACAAATCAAACACTCAGTAAGCTGTCAAAAGCAGTATCAAAGAAACCTGAATACAATAAAATTGTAAATATATCAAAAATATAACCGGTATTTCAACATAAACAGGTTTCCAGTAAGTAGCTACAATGGCTAAATACATCATCATGTTCCGGGAGCTTCCACCTCTAGAACATGTCAGGAACATGATGCCGTTCATTGCTCTAAAGGCATTTCCCAGAGCTCATATTACAGGTAATACCACCGCTGTAGGACAGTCAACACAAAAAAAAAAAAACAAAAAAAAAAACAAAACAAAAAAAAACACACCGATCTGAAGACAGTAAGCGATATCTGCAAGTCAGACAAAACAAGGAAAAATTGCCAAGTGATTTCCTTTGCCATCCGTGTCCCATTGGGAAACTTTCCCTCTACTTCCTGTCCCACAGACACAACAGGATGTGAAAGAATCTCTTAAAAGCAAGGGAAGTCCCTTTTTTTTTTTTTTTTTTTTTTTTTTTTAACAGTGGTTACTGGTATCATTGGAAGTTGTTCTGACCTACTCCTGTGGAATCTTACAATTTTACATTTTCTCTCACGTCCAGTCCTGAGAAAGCAAATTGCCCTGGTGCGGACAAAGACAGTGATAAAAAGCTCATAAAATAGAAATAAGCAGCACCGGTTTAATAAGCCTCAGTTGTTTAACTGAGCATTCAACAAAAGTAAGTGACAAAGAAAAAAAGTGCCAAAAACATGTTCCTCGGCCAATGTTTCAAGGTCTCACAGGAGGCCTCAAGGTGACCGCAGTGTTTTTGTGGGGCCCTGAATCAGTGCAGGAATATATTTTTGGCATGTTTTCTTTGCTATTTGTTTTGTTGAGTCTTCAGTAAGGCCCATTATGGGGTACTGACTTTTTCTATTTTATAAGCTATAATATGGTATCACCAGTAGTCACGAACTCCACACTAGTGACGTTCAGGGTCAGATGTTGGATCGATTTGTCTAATGGAGGGGTCTCCAAACTTTCTAAGCAAAGGGTCAGTTTACTGTCCTTAGGGAGGCCGGACTGTAGCCGGTGGGAGTAGAAAATGCCCTGGCATCAGTAGCCCATCATCGGTTTTAATAGAAGGAATAGTGCCCCATTGTTGATATCAGTTAGAAGAATAGTGCTCCATTGTTGATGTCAGTTAGAAGAATAGTGCTCCATTGTTGATATCAGTTAGAAGAATAGTGCTCCATTGTTGATATCAGTTAGAAGAATAGTGCTCCATTGTTGATATCAGTTAGAAGAATAGTGCTCCATTGTTGATATCAGTTAGAAGAATAGAGCTCCATTGTTGATATCAGTTAGAAGAATAGTGCTCCATTGTTGATATCAGTTAGAAGAATAGTGCTCCATTGTTGATATCAGTTAGAAGAATAGTGCTCCATTGTTGATATCAGTTAGAACAGTGGTTCTTAACCTTGTTGGAGGTACTGAACCCCACCAGTTTCATATGCGCATTCACCGAACCCTTCTTAATTGGAAAAATAAAATATAATTTTTAAAATTCAAAACATAGGTATATATTTAGGTATATATTTATACATAGGTGCACAAAATGAACAAAACCGTTAAGAACAAAGAACAAAACCATTAAAACATGATTTTCACACAAAAACATAATAATGAATATTTACTGCAAGAATCATATGAGTCGGGTGTGGGTCTTCACCTCCGTCGAACCCGCGAAACTGACTCACCGAACCCCTGGGGTTCGATCGAACCCAGGTTAAGAACCACTGAGTTAGAAGAATAGTGCTCCATTGTTGATATCAGTTAGAAAAATAGTGCTCCATTGTTGATATCAATGAGAAGTATAATGCCCTTGATGGTGTCAGTAGAGGGAATGGTGCTCCATCACTGGTGACAGTTGGTGGAATAGTGCACCGAGGGCCAGATAAAGGCAAGCAAAATGCCACAACCAGCCCCCCGGGATGCAGTTTGCAGACCACTGGTCGAATGCAATGAAAAACTCACAGGGGTTCTAACCCCTCTATGCAAGACTAAAAAAAGCAGCTTTTCTTTGGCTATACAGATGAAAATATACATGTCTTCATAGAGAAGACAAAATACTATTTATAGTACTATTTATAATGCAGTACGAATACAAAAAAATAGAGCTCAGGGTTTAGAGTGAGGCCAGCTCTTTCACAATGCATACAAATTTAAGTGTGAAACTGTATAGTAAAAGTGTGGTTTCAGGATCTCTATACAGGAGAAGATCTGGCATAGTACATTCTATAAAGTTTACCTGTTCAATGACATAGAAGGAAAACTCTAAGCGCTGTCTCTGCAGCATGGGTATCAGGTGGCGGAAGAAAATAGGCAGGTGTTCATGGCGATTTCGGAATGGAATCAGGATTGCTACCTGCAAAAAAAAAAAAACACACAAATTTATATGGGAGCTGTATGCCTCACATTTGACAATCAAATCAGAGAAACAAGTTATGAAGAACAGGCTGGTCTGTAAAAAATGTAAATCATTGATCGTCACAGTTGCTGAGCAAGAGGGAACCCATTCTATCACTCAAACAGCACTATGTATAGCTATAGCATCTTCTATTGATTCATCTATAGCTAGCAACATACTCATGCACTGCTTTTACAGATTACATAGAGCCATACAATCTCATGTCCTTATCACAGTGACACAGACTCATACATTAAGTCAGATTCTGCATGGAATATGTGTAGTCTTTATGAAAGAAACCTATGATAAACGAGATACAGAGGTTACAACCAATGACCTCCCCCTGAAACTAGTAGCTGCTTGGATATCTCAGGTCCCAATATTTCTGACTAACAGACCAGGATCACGCGTATATACAAGTGAAAAATTAATGTAGAGCTAATAATTTAGTCAATGTATTACAAACCATGTTTCTAAGTATAGATCCTAATTATATATGGACATAGGACGAAAAAAAACATGAATATTAGCAAATTACATATACAGGTTCTGCTTCTTGAATTGTGGTCCTGCACAACACTTGCACCTTACAGGCACTTAGGCTCCATGTACACGGGACACTTCTGAACGATAGAACCGGACTGCTCGAAAACGTAGGTTAAAAAACATCTGTTTAGCTGTGTTTGCATAACGCGTTTATGTGCGTTTGTGTTTTAGAAGTGTTTTTTAAAGATAAGCACAGGAGAACCTCCCAAATGCCCAGAATGCACTAAAAAGTGGTAAATTATGAACTATTACTATACTATAGTACTATAGTAGAAGCAGAGACAGCAGTATGTGTTGAAGCTTAGGTGTGAGTTGCTCACTAACATTTCTTTTGTTTCCAAGGGTGGGAAAGGTGTCTGATGGAGTCATTAAGGCCATTTGGCAGGGGTCTTCATGAGGAATTTGAGGTGAGAATGGTCATTAACATATCTTTTGTTTCCAAGGGTGGGAAAGGTGTCTGGTGGAGAGAGTCATTGAGGTCACCTGTCAGGGGGTCTTCATGAGGAATTTGAGGTGTGAATGGTCATTAACATATTTTTTGTTTCCAAGGGTGGGAGAGGACTCAGGTGTAAATTGGTCATTCCAATGTGTGACAAGCTCCATAGGAACATCCTGTTTTCAGCATTTTGTCCATTCCAGTACCTTGAAAATGCTTTGCATGCATTTTTCATGATGAAAAAAAGGCTCTGGACAGCATTGGGAACTGGAAGAGTTAGAAAAAAAAAAAAAATTTCAGACGCAAATGCTTATAAACGGGATTTACCGCATTTACAAGCGTTTTGCCTTTGAAACACTGACAAAATCAACTGCTGAACGCAAGTTTTCTGCATTAAAAAACACGACTGTAAACCCAAATGCCTGTAAATGACTGTAAACAAAGATGTGTATATGGACACATAGGAAAACATTAGGGTGAGTTCAGTGGCTGCTGAAAAAAAACGCTGAACAGCTCCTAAACGTGAATTTTTTCAGCTGCAGTGTACATGAGCCCTTAAGCTGGCCAAACACTGTTCAAATTTTGTCTGGTTTTCAGTGAACTGGCCAAAATTTGCTCAGTGGGTGGCCGGGTCAGCCTCCTATTACCTGGCATCCTTCGGGTAAAAAAGCCTGGGGGACAATTGTTGGCTGAATAGTGCCCGCATCCAATTAGATGCAACTGCTTCTCCTGGGTATTGCACAAGCTGTCAAGATACAATAGCTGCAGCGGGAGATTCATCCATTTGCACTGAGCAGTGTGGGTGGAGAAATCTGTAAAAAATTTGCATGTGCATAAAACTGCAACTTTTATTCTCAAACAACAACTTCTTTGACAATTCTGTACAATGACATGAACAGCAATATGGCTTGCTCATCTCTCTGCCGCCAGCCTGTGACTGGACAATAAAGGAGCAGACTGATTGGCTCATCCCTCTGTTCTCACCTTCTTTTAGCATGTTGCTCGTCAGCCATATGTAAGCAACAGAACAAGCAGCATAAACCTCTATGTATCTTAGATCCTATAAAATATACATACAGCGGGTAAAATAAGTATTGAACATGTCACCATTTTTCTAGGCAAATATATTTCTAAAGAAGGTACTGACATGAAATTTTAACCACATGTCGGTAACAACCCATGCAATCCATACACACAATGAAAGCAAAACAAATAAGTTCGGAAATTACCTTATGTGTAATGAAATGAAATGACACAGGGAAAAAGTATTGAACATGCTAACTGAAATTTATTTAATACTACGTACAAAATCCTTTGGTGGTAATGACAGCTTCCACACACCTCCTCTATGGAGAAACTAGTCGCATGCATTGCTCAGGTGTGATTTTGGCCTATTCTGTCACACAGTCTTCAAATCTTGAAGGTTTCATGTGCCTTTTCTATGAACTCTGATCTTTAGTTCTTTCCATTGATTTTCTATTGGATTCAAGAGAGGTGATTGGCTGGGCCATTCTAGCAGCTTTATTTTCTCTCTTTGAAACCAACAATTTCCTTGGCTGTGAGATCATTGTCTTGCTGAAATGTCCACCCTTGTTTCATCTTCATCATCCTGGTAGATGGTAGCAGATTTTTATCAAGAATATCTTGGTACATTTTTCAGTTAATCCTTCCTTAAATGATATGAAGTTTGCAAGTATCGTATGCTGAAAAACAACCCTGCACCATGATTTTTTCCCACCTCCAAACTTCACTGTTGGTATGATGTTTTTGGGGTGATGTGCAGTGCTATTTGACCTACAAACATGGTGTGTATTATGGCATCCAAAGAGTTAAATTTTGGTCTCATCTGACCAGACCATATTCTCCCAGTATTTCACAGGCTTGTCTAAATGTTGTGCAGCAAACTTTAAATGAGCTTCAACATGCTTTTTCTTCAGCAATGGAGTCTTGCGTGGTGAGCGTGCATACACGCCATGGTGGTTGAGAGGTTCACTTATTGTTTTCTTGGAAACAATTGTACCTGCTAATTCCAGGTCTTTCTGAAGCTCTCCACAAGTGGTCCTTGGCTCTTAGACAAATCTTCTGATAATTCTTTTCACTCTTCGGTCAGAAACCTTGCGAGGAGCACCTGGTCATGGCCAATTTATGGTGAAATGATGTACTGAGGCCCATGCCTCATGTTTTTTCTACTGCTGGATTATGGCCCCAACAGTGCTCACTGGAACATTCAGAAGTTTTGAAATCCTTCTGTAACCAATGCCATCAATATGTTTAGCAAAAACAAGGTTGTGAAGGTCTTGAGAGAGCTCTTTGCTTTTATGCTTTTACCCATCATGAGATGTTTCTTATGTGACAGCTTGGTAATGAGATACCTTTTTATAGGCCATCAGTTGAGACTGAACCAGCTGATATTAATTTGCATTGACAAGGGGCAGGATTGCTTTCTAATTACTGATAAATTTCAGCTGGTGTCTTGGATTTCCATGCCTTTTTGCACCCCCCTTTCTTCATTTATGTCAATTACTTTTTCCCTGTGTCATTCAATTTTAGTACACATAATACATTTCTGAACTTATTTGTTTTGCTCTCTTTGTATGTATAGATTGCATAGGTTGTTACCGACGTGGTGAAAATTTCATGGCAAAATGGTGACATGTTCAATACTTTGTTATACATGCTATGAACTGCATATGAATCGTACTGGAACAGCATCACATCAAATTCACATGTGATTCAGTGCGGTGCGATTTGAGCCCAATCATTTCAAATGGGCTTAAACTGCACCACATGGCACCAAAGTAGCGCATGCACCAATTCTGGAACTGCAATGCAACGGGATCGCAAGTTTGTTTCGTACCACGCGATCCGGTGCAGGCAAATGTTATAAAGACTGCAATGACATCAACTGCAGATCACAAGGGCAGTGAGACTTGAATGTGAGGGCGGGAAATGCGCATGGATCACAGGCTTCCAAACCACATTCTAGTGTGCACCAATGCAACCAGCTCTTTTTTAATATCTACGGAGCTGGTCGGAACTAATTCTTGAGGAAATCCATTCCACATTATCACAGCTCTTATTGTGAAGAAGCCTTTCTGTAGGTGGAGGTTAAATCTCTTTTCCTCCTGACATAAAAAGTGCCTCCTTGTCCCCTCTAATACATGAATGTCCAACAAGGTTTCAGCACAGAGTAAAATATGAAGCCATAAAATAAGCGCTCAATAAGAGTTGAGGCTCCTCTAACATGGCAGCTCCAGAACGCCACTTATACTTGGAATGCAGGATATGTCTACATCACAGAGTGACATGAGCAACTCTGGTATGTAGTTATATTGAGCTGAATTATTTACAGGCTTCCTTGACTACCCAATTCCTGTTCATTGCACAAGGTATTACAAAGTTGATTTTCATTTGATGTCTGTGTGTTGAAGACATAAAACGAAAGCAACAGAAGCTGTACATTGCATATAGCAGCCTAACCAGTAATCAGGCAAATCATTTCACCCCTCTGGCACTAGTAAACGCTACTGGTTGATTAATTACCCCATACCATTTCAGGCATGGGCCTCAGGATTGAAGACTCATCACTATTCCATTCAAACACCAGCTCTGCACGCAACTAATCCTAATGCAGAATTCGGTGCATGACAAGAGGGTAGAATGTGGAAACCAGATATACTTGCTAAAGTAAGCCTGCCAGTTACTGTAAAGGGACAGGAGGTAATTCCAGGAAGTTTATTGATCTCACTGCTTATAAAATGATAAATTAAAAAAAAAAAAAAAATTACACAATTCAAAGGGCACAGAGGTAAAGGTTGAGATAAACCATCAAGCATGAAGAAAATTCACAGCCTGTAACAGCTTTGACATAAACCACATTCATACACTGCACTCTATAAACGTCAGGCAATGTCAAACAAAACCAATCACTTTCCCAGCGATGTGTTTTAGAGTCTGATCTGATTAGTCACTAAAG